AAGTTCTCAAAATACCTCCCAGGCCTTTTTGATAAGTAATTATCTTAGAAGTTTTGCTGCATTATTTTCCTCCTGATCTGCTATCTTGTATTTCTATATCAAATTTTGCAGATTATGTGAATGTATTATAATATCAGGAAACTTGATAGAGAGAAGCTGACATTAGATCATTGCATTAAGTTTGCCTTCAACTGTATAAAAGCAAATTTCCTGTATAATGACTTCAGGTAAGATTCAGTTTTGGGAGGCATATAAGTTGGTCTTAGGACTGAGTAGATGATTATGATTAAGGTCTAGTGATGTCATACTGATTATTACATTTTTCTTTGGAAAAGTTATGTTAATGTACCAAGTACAACCAGTCCACTTTGATCTGCTATTTCATTAGTTCTCCAGGATTATAGTTTTCTTAGGTTTGTAAGTACCTTGGTGATCACAGGTGAGAGTACATCTTTGACAAGTTCTCTCTGGAGAAGGATCTTGATCATTTTTAGTCTTGATGATAATGAAATTCTCTTACAAGGCATAGTCATTAAAATATTTATTGATATTATCACACATTTGGAAGACTTGCCCAATGAAAGATGATATGGTTTGTTGTGGATGGAGAGGACTGAGAGAGCTGTATTTGGATTAGTATCCTATTTATTATTAGAAAAAAAATTGAGCAATATAATATCTTGTAGTTATGATAGTTAGGTTTTCCTGTTATGTTATTTCATCATGATTGTTATTGTTGTTGTTATTATTATTACTAGACTCATCATTATTACTAGACTCATTATTATTGTCAGACTTTTTGCTATTACTAGGTTTGTCATTATTACTTGACTGTATTATTTCATCGCTGGACTCATTATTATTGCTCAGCTATATTATTTCATCACTGTTTTTAGGCTTATCATTGCTAGGATCACTTCAGAAGAGCATATCATTTTTTATGAGGATTCTTTCATGAAACTCTTAAGTTCTCTCATGAAAAAAAATTTAATTACTTATTTAAGATTGACCAATAATAATGATACGTAATATGACAATATGATTAAAACTGAATTGATTATATGATTATATTAAATACATATAAATTCACGTGATTGGGATTTGTCATCACTGATTACAAATACATTTTTTCTTATTATTATTATTATTATTATTATTATTATTATTATTTATTATATTATTAATTACTTATATATTATTAGATTAAGTATAATTAGCTCTTTAAAATTGTAATATATAATTATTAATTTTTTTAATTATATTTAATTATTATATTTTAGAATTATTAATTTATTTATATTTTTTATTATTTTAATTTATATAAATATATTATTTTATTTTATAATTTAATTTTCAATTTAAATATTATTTAAATAATAAAATAATAAGTATTTATAAATTAAAATTATTTAGTTTATATTTTATTTTATTTATAAATATAAATAAATAATCTTATATATTTTTTTTATATTTATATTTTTTACTTGAAATAATAATAAAAAAATTAAAATTAATATTTTTTAATATATTTTTATTTTAGTTTTACAATTTATATTTATAATTATATTTTTTTTATCTTTTTATTATATATTAATATAATATTTATAAATATATAAAAATTTTTAATTTTACTTAATATTATAAATAATTTATTTTTTATATTATATTTATAAATTAAATTTTAAATAAAGTTTATTAATTTTAATTTATTTTAATTATTATTTAAAAATATAATTAGATTTTTTTATAATTATTATACTTAGAAAAGTAAAATTAGATAATTAAAAAAGAGAATAATTATAAAGAAATTTTTTTAATTATAATTAATTAATAATTAAAAAACTCAAAAAAGATAATTATAAAATTTTATAATTATAAAAAAATCTAATTATATAATAAATAATATTTTTTTAAATTAATATTTAATATAATATAATAAAATAATTATATTAATTTAATATAAATTTAAATAAAATAATTTTAAAATCTTTATATTTTATTTAAAAATTTTAAATTTTATAAATATATATATCATATTAACTCAAGAAAATTATTATTAACTTAATAATAATATATATTATTTTTTAAATATTATAAATTATTTATATAAAATAAATATATTTTATTAAAAATAATAATAAATTAATAAATATATTTTAAGTTAATATAATATAAAAATTAAAATAATAAAATTATTATAATTAAATTAAATAATATAAGATTAATATTTTTAATTAAATTTATAAATTATTTATAAATATTTATTTTGAATTTTTAATTATTAATAATTATATTAAAAAACTTTTAATAATTATATTTATAATAATTTAATTTAATTAAAAATACTAATATAAACATTTTAAAATATTAATATAATTAATTATATAATTAATAATTTATAAAATAATTAAACTTATAAAAAATATATTAATATAAATTAAAATTTAATATTAAAGCTAAATTTAAATATTTAAAATAAAAATTATTAAAAAAATAAATTATATAATAAAATTAATATTAATTATATTATCAGAACTTTTTTATTTTTAATTATTAAAAATTTAAATTATATTAAAATTTTTAATATATAAATAATTTAAATTTTATTCATAATAATTATTTAAAATATAATTTTTAAAATATATTTAAATAAAATATTAAATTATATATTTTATATATAAATCTTTTTATAAATATATTTTTTATAAATATATTTTTTTTATATAAATTTTTTAATTATTAATTAATTAAAAATAAAAATCTCTAAAAATAAGAAACTTTCTAAGTTTTTAAAAATTAAAAAAATAAAATATTAAAAATAAAAAATTTTTATATATTATTAGAATCAGATTTTTTTGTTAAATTAATTAAAAATTTATATATAATTATAAAATTAAAAGATTAATTTTAGTAATAAAAATATAGTAAAATTAAAATTTTCTTTTTATATTAAAACTCTATAATTTTATTAAAAAATAATTTTTATTTTTATATTAAAATAAAATTTATAAATTATAGTTTAATATTATTTCTTTCAAATTTTTTAGATTTTTCTGAAAGAGTTATTTTAATTATAAAATTAATATAAAATTTTTACTAATTAAAATTAATAAAATTTTTATATTAAATTTAAATTTATAGTTAGAATAATTCTTTCAAAAAAAACTAAAAAAAACTAAAAAAAATATATATTAAATTATAATTTATAAATTTTATTTTAATATAAAAATAAAAAATTATTTCTCAATAAAATTATAAAATTTGATATAAAAAGAAATTTTTAATTTTTTTATATTAATAAAATTGATCTTTTGATTTTATAATTATAAGAATTATTATCTTTAAAATATAAAATCTTGATAAATTTTAATTTAATAATTTAATTATAAAATTTTTTATTATATAAGATATTATAAATCTAAAAATAAGAAATTTTAAAAAGTTATTATTTTAAATTTATAAGTTTTAAAAAAACTTATTATTTTGAATTATTAAATAATTTATTAAAATAAATTTCTTATTTTCAGATATATATAATAAAAAATCTTTTTATAATTATTTAATTTTATTTTATTAAATATAATAATTATGAAAAAATTTAATTATATATATATATATATATATTTATTTAAAATAATATATAGTAATTAATTTAAAATTTTTATTTTTATTTTATAAATATTAATTAAATAAAAAATTATTATATTTTAATTAATTAATATTAATAAATTTAATTATAATATTAATATTTTTTATATTATATTTTTTGTATTATATATAGATTATTACAAAAAGATTGATAAATTAATATAAAAACTAATAATTACTTCTAATAAAAATTATTCATATTTTAACTAATCTCTATAATTTTTTTAAAAATAATCTAAATTTACTTTTTATACTATTTTAATTATTCTATTATATTTTAATTTAATAATAAATAAAGTATTATTTTACTAAAAAAAAACTAAAATAAAATTATTTTTTTAAAAAAAAGATAATTTAAATACAATAGTTATCAAAAGTAATATAATGCTTAAATTTTTTACTAATTATAATTAGTAAAAAATTTAAGTATTGCATTGCTTTTGATGATTATTGTATTATTACTTTCAATTTATAATATTAAAATTTCAAACTATACAAGCAGATTATTTTATATTTAATAAATATATATTTTAAATTTATAAAAATTGAATTAATAATTATAAAGATATTAAAATTCAAAATTTAATAATTAAATTATTTATTATATAATTTTTATATTAATTTTAATTAAATTTTATATAGTAAAATTTAAAATATAATAATTTAAAAAGTTTATTATTAGTAAATTTTTTTTTATAAAAGATATATAATAAAAATTTTTATATTTAAATAAATTCTAATATCTAATAACTTAAGTAAATAAGATAGAATTAAAAATTTTATTTTAAAAAAATAATCTTTTAATATTTATTTGATGTATTAAACTTTTTGCAATAAATTATAATAATTAATATGAAATAATTAAATAATATAATCATGAATTTGAAAGATAAATAAATAATTTAATAAAAAAATTTTTTTTAAATAAAAAATTTATTATAATACTATTTTTATAATTTCAAAATTTTATGACTATTATATTAATTAATAAATTATTTTAATTTAAAAAATTTTTTTCAAGTGATTTTATAATCATAAGCATCATTATATATAATTAAATTATTTTGTTTGAACTATTCAATAACAAACTTTGATTATCATATATAAAAACTTTTCAAGTAATATATATTTTTAATTCAAATTATATTTGATGCTATTTAATAATTAGAAAATTAAATCCAAGTAACATTAGAAAATTATTATCAATTTCAAGTATAATTTTCTTTTAAATAATAAAGAAGCTTTATCTGAATTCATTAAAAACTTATCTATGATATATTTAAGTATTTTTTTTTACAAATTAACATATATAATATAAAGCAGAATTATACATAATTTATAAACACATAAAATCAGTGATCCTGTTTTGTGGTCATCAAAAGAGCATCTAAGCACTCGACCAAGTCTGTTGTATCGTAACGTGCCTCTTTTGGCATCCCAACGAGTTTCAAAATACCATCTACAATGACAAAAAAACGAAAAGGCCATGGTGCGTACAATTTTAAAAAAGTGTCATCCATAGTGTCTGCCAGCACAGGGATTTCTAGATGAGTTGCTCTGACCATCTCACGCGCAGCAGCTAGACGGTCGGCTAACGTGCGGTGTTCCTTAACATCTACGATATTGCCAATAGGCCAAACGTCGCTAGCATGCGCTTCTCGAATTTGAATCATGCGGAAATCTATGTGCGTTTGATATCGCTTATATATGTCATTGAGTACATGAGATATGTATCGAAATAAAGGACAAGTATATGATCCGCCAAGAAGAACGAGAGGTCGCCCTGGTCGACAAAGCGAGTGTAAGAAAATTGTGGTTGGTGAACTAGTGTTGCTAGTTTTTGTTGTAGATGCTGAAGACTCTAGAGGAACCAGTGGACAATCGGGTGCCAGCATTCCTTCGGTAAGATCTCCAATACGAGCAATGTTGTTACGAACATATAATTGAGTGTTATGAAACGCAGGATCGTCTGAATAACGAGTAAAGACATCAAATAAATGATAATTAGTACATCAAACATCAACACATGCAATGATAAGAAAAAATGGGGTTGAGAAACAATGAAGGATGGGATGCTCTCACTTCACCTTGATAAAGCTGCGGAGCGCGCCGTAATAATTGTACAGCCTCATCCGAGTAACCAGATTCTCGGACTAACTTGTATTGCATCTGATCAGTAACATCCATCCAGTCCATGCCAAGTGTGGGATCATTCCCGACATTATAATATTGTTTTTGTATTTCAGGTGACAATCTTTGCTGTTCTTCCTTATGTAGCAAGGTTAACATCTCCTCTTTTGTGGTTGGAAGTATAGGAGAGATGGTAACAGAGGCAGCAGAGATATTTTTCGAAATATCCTTTGGATCTAAAGGATTCAAAATTTCCAGAAAACGATGTAGGACATTATGAAGCAAGCTGGACATTGTGATACAATCGCAACATAAGTCATAATCAGGGCATGCCGAACATTTATATCTATGAACAGTGAAAAAAAAAATAGTAAGCAAATTGAATCAGTATGATAAAATGGGTGAATATCATAGCTTATAAAAAAGAAAACTACGAATACGGTTTAACCTTGCTCCTTTCCACTCTCTTTTACCACAGTAATCACAAGCAATACCAGCATGGACTCCGTCTTGTAGACTTTTTTCAGGCGTTTGCACGTATTGAGTGAGTGGTGGTAATGCATCAAAATCTACGCGACCACTTGTTTCTTGAAACATCCCACCACGTAGTCTGAGTACTAGATGTAACACAGAACCTCCTTGGATATTGTAATCTACTAACATGCGATCATCTTCCAATTGCTTCCCTTCAAAAATCAACCTTTGTTGATCAAGGGGAATGCCTTCTTTATCCTCGATCATTTGTTTAACCATGTAAATAGTGTCACTACTGTTGGTTCCTTTCAGATTTACGGTTTTACCAGTAAGCGTTTTTACACAGATTCCAGAATCTACCATAGTTGGTATCGCTATTCTGAGATGTAACGTAGAACCTCTTTTGATATGGTAATCTGCTAAGCTGCGATCATCTTGCAATTCCTTCCCTTCAAACATCAACCTTTGTTTATTAGAAGGAATGCCTTCTTTATCCTCGATCATTAGTTTAACTACGTAAATAGTGTCACTACTGTTGGTTCCTTCCAGATTTATGGTTCCACCAATAAGTGGTTTTACACAGATTCCAGAATCTCCCATAGTTGGTGTCGTTATTCTGAGTAGTAACGTAGAACCTCTTTTGATATGGTAATCTGCTAAGCTGCGATCATCTTGCAATTCCTTCCCTTTAAACATCAACATTTGTTTATCAGAAGGAATGCCTTCTTTATCCTGGATCATTTGTTTAACTACGTAAATAGTGTCACTACTGTTGGTTCCTTCCAGATTTATGGTTCTACCAATAAGTGTTTTTACACAGATTCCAGAAACTGCTATAGTTGGTGTAGTTGGTGTTGATGTTCTGAGTACTAGATGTAAAGTAGAACCTCTTTTGATATTGTAATCTGCTATGGTGCGACTATCTTCCAATTGCTTTCCAGCAAAAGTCAACCTTTGTTGACGAGAAGGAATGCATTCTTTATTCTGGATCTTTTTTTTAAGGCGGTAGATAGTGTCACTCTCGGATACTTGCAGATATATGATTAAACCGGTACGTGTTTTTACAACGATTTCAAAGGTTTGAACTGTTGAAGATCTTGCCATAGTTGGCGCCGATACCTGTGGTGTCGACTGTGTGAGTCTTGTTTCGACCAGGTCTCCTTCCTAATGCTCCGCAAGAAATCGAAAAGCATAATTCATTAACGCTGCATGCGTACCTACTCCCTTCCTCGCAGTAACAAAAAGGGCAATCTGTAATCGAACGCAACCTTATAAACATTTAGAGGCGTTTACCTCGATTCCCAACTTTTCAAGAGTGTCTGCACTCTGCATGTCTTTGCCTTTGTACGTAAGATTAAATTTGAGGCATTCATTTCCTAGAAAAGCTTGAAAAGCCTTTAACAATAATTCGCCAGTAGTATGTTTAGTCACTTTTGCTTTGTATATAGAGCTGAATATAGAACCGTATGCAACGCGGATAGAAAAATTAGGAGGGGGATTGGCAAGTAAATGCATTTTCGTGAGTAATGAAAATAGTTTAATTTTCCAAAAAACCTGTGCTCGACAAACCAAGAAGGATGCGATCAACCCGGATCGGTTTAATTTGGATTTCGTAAGAATACCCAGATTGACAAATAGATTTTTAGATGAGTAAATTGAATTAACTTAGGCCACTATAATGAACGATTACGTTCCTGGAACGTTATCTCAGTCGCTTCTGGGGATCCAAAATAACAAGAAAAATAAACATAACTCGCTTATTGATGCAAAACTCGATGCATTGTTTAAGAGCAGTGTATGTCTATTATGTCTAATCTCTTCATTTATTGTGTGCCATTGATCATAGTACCTGGAGGAAATCAAAATATATAATTATCCTTTTGTGAATTTGATTCAACATCTTGTATCTTGTTATTTGGGTGTTTTAGGCAGGTCCTTGTCAGATACCATCACCACAACTACCATCAATAATTCTTAAAGATGAAGTGACGTCTGATCTTCATAATATTTCTGATAATAAGGATAACGCAAATATCAAAAATCGAAAAGAGATCAATCGCATTGATAAAGATAAAAATAATGTGCCATTAGCAAAAAAGAAGATTCGAAACAACAACAACAACAACAGCAACAACAATAATAGTAGTAGTAATACTAGAAGTAGTAAAAAGAATTTAACTATTGAAGAGAAATACGAGTTGACGAGATTGAAAAAACAAAATGATGATAATAAACGTAGAGATAACAAGGAGAAAGAGGCAGAAAAAGAAGTAAGTCTCATTGAAATTTAATTTTATGATGTTAAATGGACTATGTATACGCATTTTTGAACTAAATTTTTTTTTTGTTTATATGAAAGCCGAGTTTAATCTCATCTTCGCCTTCAAAAAGTAGTCGTGAAATTGATTTGGTTGCGCAAACTATTAACAACAATGAAGTAAGAAGTCTGAAACGTAAGCGATCAAAAATATTAAAAAACAATAACGACGATAAAAATAAACCGGAAAAGAGGATCAAAACGAGTAAAGAAGCGAAAAAACAACATGCATTGGGAGAAAAAAATATTGAAGAAGAAAAACAAAATAGTGATGAAACAAGTGAACATGATGACGAGGATAATATTTTTCAGGAAGGAAGTAGTAGGGATGTTGATACTCATGATATAACAGAAGATAGTTCTGATAGCGATTATGAGGATGATAACAATGA